AGCATTGGTTAGTCCAAATGACATAACTACAAATTCATAATGACCATACCGAGTTCTGAAGGCTGTCTTCGGAATGTCACTATCTCTGACTCTAAGCTGATGATAACCTGATCTGAGGTCTATCTTTGAGAAATGACTAGCACCCTGAAGTTGGTCAAACAAGTCATCAATCCTAGGGATGGGATACTTATTCTTGATTGTGACCTTGTTCAACTGCCTATAGTCAATGCACATTCTGAGAGAACCATCTTTCTTCTTCACGAACAACACTGGTGCACCCCATGGCGAAATACTGGGTCTGATGAAGCCCTTATCTAGAAGGTCTTTCAACTGCTCTTTCAATTCCTTAAGCTCAGCTGGAGCCATTCTATAAGGAGGGATAGAGATAGGCTGGGTATCTGGAAGGAGATCAATTCCAAAGTCTATTTCCCTTTCGGGAGGTACTCCAGGAAGATCTTCTGGGAACACTTCTGGAAACTCATTAACCACTGGAACTGACTCAAGAGTTGGGGTTTCAGAACTAGAATCCTTAACCCGAACTAGATGATAGAGATAACCCTTAGAGATCATCTTTCTGGCCTTAAGGTAAGAAATGAATCGACCCATAGGCGCTAAGCTACTACCCTTCCATTCTAAGATTGGTTCGTCTGGAAACTGAAAACGAACAATCCTAGTTCTACAATCAACTGAGGCATAACATGAATGTAACCAATCCATGCCTAGAATGACATCGAAGTCTACCATTTCTAACTCTACAAGATCTGCTGAGGTGACTTTCTGAGAGACTGTGACAGGGCAATTTCTGTATACCCGTCTAGCTATAACTGGGTCACCGACTGGAGTAGAGACTAAGAAGGGTTCTGAAAGAGTTTCTGGACTAACACTGAATTGGACTGCTATATAAGGAGTTACAAAAGACAAAGTAGCCCCTGGATCTAACAATGCATAAACATCAAGATCAAAGACTCGTAACGTACCAGTGACTACATCAGGAGAATCTTCCTGATCTTGACGAGCCTGAAGAGCATAAAGCCTGTTTTGGCGCTGTCCGCCACCAGTACCAGAAGAGTTACCCTACTGAGTCGGGCGACCTGCTGGTGCTGCTGAAGTTGTTGACTGAGCTCTACCATTATTTCCTCCTTGACCTTGTCTTGAAGGACAAGTTTGTCACGCCCCAAGCTACCCCCAAGACGCGGACACGGGACCTAGGACCACAAGTGATCCCAAGCTAACCCTACTGGCATGATCATGAGCATACTAAAGATAATAAACTGATGCGGAAGCTAATTCATAAATAAATCTGAAAAGATGGGGAATACCCATATACTATAACTGAATGTAGCGAATCTGAGAGTTTAATACAAAAGATATATCAAACTCAAATACTAAGCTGAATCTAACTATGTCTGAAATAAGCCTCTAAACTGACTAGAAATGTTGGGACATGCCCCAACTAGATCTAGCAAAAACTAAAACTAAAGACTAAAAATACTGAAAAGAAACTCATGACTATTGTCCCCGAAGAATGAGGACTCACCAACTGATTCTGCTGAACTGAAGATCGGGAATCGATCTAAGCGTGATCTGGATGCTGAGAACCTGAACCTACATCACGAGAAGATGTAGCGCACGTATGCGTCAGTACTTGAAAGGTACTGAGCATGCAGGATAGAGTAAAGCTGAAATAACATATAACTGAACAAAGCAATAAAGCAATGAAATAATCTGGACATGATATAGATACTGAATGCTGAGCTAACTGAATGCAATGACCAATTTATAACATGCTGAAACTGAATACTGAATATACTGATAAATGGTCAATGCAATAGAATCTGACTGAACTGTGGGAGCTACTAATAACCGACATAAAACCACATGAGCTAAATGTGGAGTCCGATGTATACGCCCCATCGAGAGGACCCAATATACCCTGCCAGAGGTATAGAGGCATGCTGGCGTGATCACTAAACTGATGTTGCCCACAGAGGGGACTTACACCTACGTGGCTCGTAGTTCTGGGACTATATGGGTACGCTGAAACCCTAGTCCAACTCGGTATTATGCTACTCCCAATAGATTAAATGGTTAACACATTATGACTGAGTTTTCTGTAAATACTGGATAGCTCGAACTGAACATGCAAACTGAGAATGCAACCATTAATCTGATAATGATGCATTCATAAACTGAGGCATGTAAAACTGAATACTGAAATATCTGACCTAGCATGTGTAATTCAAGAACTAAAGAAATACATAGCTAGGGTTCTGAAATTAATGCGATAAACTGAGCACTAACATGACAATCTGATTTGGAACATTTAAATAATTAATTCATGATGATCTGTTCAAATTCTAGAAACCCTAGGTCTGTTCATAATCATGGAATCAAGAATCTGACTGAATTCTAGGGACCTAATGGGCGAAAGGAACCCACTAGTGAAATCCCACATACCTGGTGACGAATTCCACGGAGAAATCTTTCGATTTTGGGGCTGGAACTGAAGAAACCTCGCTGCGTTCTTGAACTAGGGTTCTTGACCTTTTTCTCCTCTCTTGCTTCTAATTCTTCTAAGTTTGATTAATGATTTGACTTAGGTAAGTTCTAGTTATGTTTCTAGGCTTAAACTAATTAAAATCTCATGATTTAGGGTCTAAACGACGTATCTTAGGGGTTAAACGAAATAGGAAAAGACCAAAAGACCCCTGAATTAACTGCTGTCGGAGTGACCGACGGTTTGGACCTACGGGCCGTAGGTCAATCTACGGTCCGTAGATTGGGTCCGTAGTTCGAGTCTGCCCGACAGGGCTTCACTAAAATGGGCATAAATTTTTACTCGGAGGTCGGAATTTAGTAAACTCGGTGGCGTTGGAAAGATAATTCAATTATCTATCTAACCATAGGTCATGGGACACATAATTCATTTTGTGCTAAAAGTTATGACCATCTGAAGTTGACCCATCAGAATTTTCAGCTAACTGGCTGCTATCCTTCGATCTACGGTCAGACCTACGGACCGTGGATCGAACGACGGTCCGTGCTGGTCAACCGTAGTTCATGTCAGAGGCTGGGTAAAGGAGGTCTTGATCCACGGACACAGACCACGGACCGTGGTCTGATCTACGGACCGTGGGTCTGTCCGTGAGTCGAGACTTAACCAATTTTCTGAGCTGACTGGGGAGGGGTTGCAGTGGCGAACCACGGACCACCAGCACGGGCCGTGGTCTGACCTACGGTCCGTGGATGGTGACCGTAAGTTGCACCTGCAACTTCTCAAAATCTGCATTTTCGTCTATTTCGAATACGGGGTGTTACATAGCTGGGGTGAGATACAAATCTATGTCGAAAACATAGTTTGTACAGGAGGGATTGATAAATTATATTTGTTATTTGAAACATAGAACAACCAATTCATATGTAAAGTACACATTCTATAAAGGCAATTATATTGTCAGGGGATCTTGTTAGTCATTTTCCTTTATGCTCTAATTTTTCTCTTATGAGCAGTGCTTCAAGAGGATGTTATGCCTCCAGAAAATATAAAACAAAAAAGAAGCGTGAAATCTTCGCTCAGGTCCTTCTTAGACTTCTGATTAATGTTTTCCACGGAAAAAAATTAGTTGGGGAAAAAAGAGGGAACTCGGCATAAGTATTGTATGATCAAGATTTTATATAATAAAAATCACTTTCCAATATTATAAGACAATTAATGAAAGTTATTTGAATGAAAAACTGTGAACAAAAGTTTTCCAATTTAGAGCATATCAAATGACACTGATTTTCTAACTATGTAGTTGCTCTAAAAAGATGAACATTGAATAACTCTTAAGTAACTGTTTCAAGCTGAAGTTGATTTGAAATAGGAGATACATTTTCTTTTTTGAACTAGAAGTTGTGTTCAATTTGCTACTTATATTTATGATAATCTTAGTCAAACCGTTTGTCTGTCACTCCGACAAATTACCGTTGATTCATCTTTTTCATCATTGTGTTCTTAGATATCAGAGAACATTTATTGTTCAATACAGAATAAACGAATAAAACAAATGCTCGTAGTTCATTTGGTACTATTTTCCCCTTTAAAATGATCGTGTTCCCAATGTCTTATGGTTTTGACAAATTTCAGCTTCAAAATAGCATCCTTGATGTGGAACACGTACGTAACACACACAAAAACTTAATATAGTTTATTAATGCATTAGCAGTTGTTTGTTCCTCTTTGGAATTGATCTTAAGTTCATTCAACGATTTTAATATTTTGTATGTTCATTCAAGGAAACAATTAAAAGGCTCTTAGAAAATATGGTTTTTCTTATTTTGGACATTTGGACGTTTAATATTGATTCAAGTTTAATTGTATAAATCTAAAACATATAGTTTAAATTCAGATTTCGCTCTTGAGATAAAATAGTTTCATCATAAAAATGACCCGTGCACATACTAAATCCAGTCATTGCATATATAACATATCAATAAATTATTGCATGAACTGAAGATAAATGTTAAAGAGGAAAGGTTTGAGTAATAAATAGTTGATAGAATGTATTAATAAGTGACGATCATTTTCTGAAAACGCACAATATAGAGTAGCCCAATGCAAATGCGATAAATATAGTACTTTCTAATATTATGAGACAATTGGTTTAGGTAAAGAGAGTACGATACAAAAACAATGAACAATTTATTTTTATAAAACCAATCAAGAGCAAAAGTTTTCTCGTTTCAAAAATCAGATAGCATTGATTTTCTAACTATGTAGTTGCTCTAAAAAGATGAACATTGAATAGCTCTTAAATAACTATTCCGAGCCTTGTAATAGAAATATTCAGTTGACATAAATTTTATCTCGACCAAATTAAAAGGTACCGACAAAATGTGATATGCAATCAACGAGCATATGTAAATCTTGTTTTAACTCACAAGGAAATAACATTAGTACATTACAACGAATAGTAAAAACAGAGAAAGCCCATCCTTCTTCATTGCAACCCGTGTAGTCAACAAGGAGTAGATTCGTTGTTCCAAATATCAGCATTCACTTCCTGAAAGTTTTGTAGAACATAACAGTTAACAAAACACTATTTTCGTTATTAAGAAACAAAATTTAGTAGTTGTTGAGAAAAATGTATAGAGAACTCTTACTAATTATTTAGCACACGATTGTCGTCTTCATCTGAACTTTTGCTGCGTATGATGTTGTTGCATTCCTGGTACGTTTCGCAAAAGGGCCAAACAAGGCTATCAATGTAGAGTTGTGCCTCTTGAAGGTGGTCATAGTTGGACTTTCTTGGAAATCTCTTTGAGTCATCATGTGGATTGTAAATCATGAAAAATGATGTGTTCTTACACAAAAATTCACCTTCACTTGACATGCAAAAGGACGGACCAAATAAATAATACACCCCAATGCTAATGTTAAACATTTTTGTCCAAGATTCCTTAACTCCCTACTCATTCATAACCCATACATCTACCTGATTCATGGTATATTGACAAATCATAGAAAGTTCATTTTCTAATACACCGAGGTACGGAATAGAATAAAACGGTCCTTCTCCATAGCGTGGGTTCTCTATTTCTTTCCATCTCCCATCAACCAAGTCAACAACAAGGATGACCCAATCATAATAATTAATAGAAAGCTTATTAGTAATTGCCCAATGAAGCTTCCCATTCACAAGCATACCTGATTTATAAATTTGAATCGCACTTCGTATATCATCCAAACGTTTCCAAGAATTACTATTTAGACTATATATTTTGCCCACATTATAGCCTGAATTGTCATCATCCACAATTCTGGTGGTTACCATTACCTTATGATCATCATGAAGCTCATCGTATCCAAAACCATACATGTAAAATGAATCGGTTCCAGAACTAAGCAATTTCTTGAGCTTCCTAATTGACGGATTCCAGAGAAACACATCTTTTTCCTCAATGACAACACAAATCAACCCATTGACAGAACCCACAAACTTAATAGATTCATAGAATATTTTTGGAAGATAATCAACGTCAATTGTCTTAGTAACATAGTCATAAAATAAAGAATTAACGAAACAGTCCTTAAGATTTTTTTTAGGTGAATCAAACGTCAACATAAGCCTATGGCAGGTCTTGTCATTAGCAGATCTACGGAGATGGATCTTGACAAATTCAGGGCTACAAATTAAACCAAGCCAGAATTTTGAAACACACTTGAATTTTAAGAGGTGTTTCACCTGAAGCCTTAAGAGAATTTCAGTGATGAGCTCTCCTGGCAAAACACCAGATTCAAAATTTGAATCTTGAACTGAAGAAGACGGAAGTGGAGTATGGGTGGTGTGTTTTCTCCTCTTTTGGTGTAGATTGGAGGCTTCAAATTCCATTTGAGAAGACAACAAGGTTTTTGATGTTTTTCTCTGTGCTCTGAAAATATTTGCTTATTGTACCATCTTCAAAAGATATTTTATATAATTCATTTCCCAAAAAATGGTCATTCTGTTTTTGGTAATAGATTTAAACTTGTTCATTAAGTATCACTTGATTAAATTTTCTTCCTTTTAAATTTGCCAAAAATGAGTCTGCATTTATATTGTTGCTTGAAATTTTGCTCAAAAGAATCTCTTAAATTTCTCATTCCAAAAAATCAGTCAAAAAAAATCTTTATTGTACTATTTCCAAAAGATATTTTATATAATTCTTTTTCCAAAAAATGGTCATTTTTTTGGTAATAGATTTAAAAAAATTTCATTAAGTATAACTTGATCATTTATTTTCCTTTTAAATTCGCCAAATATGAGCGTGCATTTAAGTTGTTGCTTGAACTTCACACTCAAAAGAATCTCATAAATTTCATATTCCTAAATATCAGTAAAAAAAATATAGTGTTGGATTAAGATGATTCACGATTATTGAATTTTGTAATTGTTTAAATATTAAGATCTCAGATAAAAAATATTTCTCTAGAATTATATTTAGAATCTTTGAGTATGAGAATAAAAAGATTAGAAATTGAGAACTTATTGTATACAAATAGTTATAATCACAATTAATAATTGGGCGCAGTAAATTAAATTTATTGTGAACATTAAAAATAAAGAAGCCTGTTTCTCACTTATTAGTTGTAATAACATGAACAATATTATGGTATTCAACGCGATTAAATGTCTTCACAATATACTATCTATGTCTATCTATGTTAAATTAAAAGGACGAAGATGAAGAGTCTTAGCGAAAGTGGTTTTTTTTTTTTTGCGAAAGTAGTTTGTTTTTTACTCTTTAAAATTTTATTTCACACTAGACAAAATTTTATTTCACACTAACAAAGTATGTATGCATTTTCATCATTTGTTGGTTCATAAATTATATTATCTATTTCATCACCCAATCGAACAACATTTTTCTCATTAGCGCTTAAATCTTGATCATTAGTGCCTCCATATATTGTTCATTAGCACCTCGATCATGTCATTAGCACCTACACCTTGTTCATTGACTCCCAAATCTTGATCAACATTGTTCATTTGTGCCTCCAACTTGTTCCTTGTAATGTTGAAGCAACGTTACATCATTCCAGTAAATTGGCATATATCCTTGCAACACTATACTCATTTAATCAACACCTTACAAGTCATACAAGTCTCAATTTACAAATTCGTAAATTAGTACCTTACAATTTCATAAAAAATTAATCGTCCTACTTTATATTGTTTGTTCTGTCTGAGGGCTGTAATCTGGAGAAATCACAGACTCTGTATTTTAAAAAAAAACAGAACAAAAATTGTCTTGTTCATAAAAGAATCAAATATTATTTTCTTACAATTTTCATCCCCAGCAGCACTCCACATAAGCATTGACTAGGATACGGTCACCTACAACTTGATGATATATTTCGTCATGTGGTGCATGAACATTAAACCTACATACGTAAAATCACAAGAAATCATCTATAAAACTCAATTTCTAAACGTATATGAACTTACGCGTCAATAAAAAGAGGGATAAGGCATAAGTACCCCCTAGACTATGACCGAAATCCAAAGACACACCTAAACTTAACTAAGGTCCTATTACCCCCTGAACTCATTTTTTTCGTATTTTTGTGCACCTTTTGTGTTGATGTAGCACCTTCAACCACCTAAGTTGGTTGTGTTTGTACACACTCGTCCGCTACGTGTGTAAATATTTTTTTAATAAAAAGTTAATTTTTAAAAAAAATTAAATTTTATTTTTTAAAAAAAGAATATCCTTATTTTCTTTAGCTTGTATTTAAATTAAGTTAATACACATTCATTGTTTTTTCTCTTTTATTTTTCTATTGATTTTATTTTCTTTGTCTTTCATTTTGATTTGATTTCAAATTTAATTCCAAATGTCTTGTATTTAAAATAAGTTAATTTTGAATGGATATCAAAATAAGTGAAGAAAATCAAATAAAACATAAAAAAAATTAAAACGTTAAAATTAAAGGACACTTTCAAATTTATTTTTTTTTTAAAAATACGCATAATTTTTTTTAAATAATTAAAAGTGAAAAGATAATAAATTAATTAAAAAAATTTTAAAGTGAAAAGAAACTAAAATAAATATTTTACAAAAAAAATAAAAAATAATATATATATATATATATATATATATAAGTTTTAATATCAATAAAAATATGTACTAACTAATTATAAAGTTACCAAATCAAAAAATGACATGTGTCTAATTGTACACAGTGCACTCATGACTTTCCTTCAAGAGAGTGTGCACACTCTCTATGCCATGTCAGCGTTTGTGGGGTATTTATTTCATATTAAATTAGTTTAGGGGGTAATAGGACCCTAATTAAGTTTAGGTGTGTCTCTTAGATTTCGGTCATATTCTAGGGGTACTTGTGTCTTATCCAATAAAAAGACCTTCCTGAATGTTTGGCTCATGCAAGATGTACAAGACATAAAAATTAAGTATACAGATTTCGGAATATAACTAGTTTTCTGAAAAATATAAGCAGAGGGTGAGAATCCATACAAGGCTAATATAATCCTCGACGAATGCAACTCGAGTTTTGTAGACACAACAACGGATCAATAGTGAACAGGGAGGTCACTGTATTCAGTTTAAAAGGATTTTTCATTGTACCAACTTTGTTGATTGAATCAAGAAGCTGTTGTTCGGTTTGAAAAAGGCCGGTGTGAATGAAAAATGATGTGACTTTTTTGAAAGATCGTGATTTTTTGGATGAGTTGTGACCGTTTGGACTTTATCCAAGGTAATGACCGAAGGGTTGTGATTTTACCACATTACCCCTAGTAACTATAGTAAGTATGTTCTTTAATTATCATTTTTATTTTAGTTTATTGAATTTAGAAAAGAAGAAGAAGAAGATGTAGTCTATTAGAGAAAAGAAAACAAAGTAACTAGTAAATAAATAGAATATATTAAAATATAAATTACAGAGAAATAAATAAATGAATATTAGGGTTTTTCAATATTGTAAGGAACTCTCAAAATAAATATAAAAAAAAACACTTTTGTTACGTTTTCAAGTAACTCTTCTCAATAAATATTTGTAACCCACAATATCAAATAAGCAGTCGCCTCTCTCATGCAAAAATGATACTAAAAAAAAAAATTGCAAACTCAAATTCCCAAAATATTCTCAATTTGTATCAAATTCAATGAAAGAATCAATGTTGACGATTCCTATTCTGCCAGCAGAACACGTCATTAAAATCCTCTTAAGGCTTTCGGTGAAATTTCTCTTGAATAATACTTTATAGGGTGTATAACTAATCCATTGATTACATATTCATAGGCTCAAATTCCTATCAAACATAGTACTAAATAATATTATAATACCATACATAATACATGAACTATTTTAGAATTATCAATATCTACATGGACTTTAAAATTTGATGGGCTTATTCGGACCGAACTAAAAACCCAAAGAGTATTCTATTGATAATAGGTACTAGGTTATAAAGAGAGACCTTTATAATACCAAAGTCGTCGCAGTCATATATTCTCCCCATGCAGAAGTGAAACTCTAAAAATATAATATTGCAACCCAAATGGAATCTGAACCCTCCCTTCAACGCACCAAACTCACAAAACATTCTCAACTTCCATCAACTTCAATGCAAGACTCGAGTTCGACCTGAAATCTTCTTAAGGATTCCGGTGAAATCGCTCTTGCAATACAGGTCGGTTTCAAAATATTGGCTTGATTTAATATCTAGCCCTAGATTTATCAAGTCTCATCTCAGTTTATCGACTAGTAACAAGGAAAACACTCACCATAAGTGGCTTATGGTGATGTTTAATAAGAACCCGTACACTCGTATTTGTTCTCTTAGATCTTTATTTAATGATTCTGTTACAGAAACATCTTACTTGAATATTCCCATGAAGGAACCTTATGAATCTTATCATATTTTGAGTTCTGTGAATGGATTGATTTGTCTAAGTTGTCGTGCTGGTGAGAAAGAAGACTTAATTCTATGGAATCCATCGATTAGAAAGTGCAGGAAATTGCCTAGTTTTGAATCTGAACTAATAAATGTTAACTGTTATTATCATTGTGGTTTAATATATGATGAGTTTCATGATGATTATAAGGTAGTAGTCATTCTCTTTGAACATAACAGATCAAATCGAGTTGAGGTCAAAATATATAGTCTAAGGAGTAATTCTTGGAGAAGTGTTGATCATAGTTGTCCTCCAAGTGGTTATTTTTTAAATGATTGTGGCAAGTTTGTGAATGGGAAACTTCATTGGACTACTCTTACTTCTGGTCATATAATACCAAGGAAATCAGTCGGAACATTGTTTCTTTTGATTTGACTGATGAGAAATGGGGAAAGGCAGAGAAGCCCTCCTTTGGGGAAGGAGATATTGATTCACGGCTAGAAGTGTTGGGTAGTAATCTTTCTGTCTTTTGTTATAACAAGCGAAGGTATGTATCTGTTTGGGTTATGAAAGAGTAGGGGGTTAAAGAATCTTGGAAAAAGATGTTTACCATCAATTATTTTGATATGCCATTTGTGCATGAACAACCCTATTTCATGTCAAATAAAGGTGAAGTTTTGGTTGGGTTTTCACGAAGTTTCAAGATCTACAATCCAAAAGATAACTCGTTCAGTCCAAAAATTATTAACTATGATCGAGAAGCTGCGGAAATCTACATTGAAAGCCTAGTTTCTCCTTTTCCATCGGAGGACCAGACTAGTGATGCAACAAAAATAGAGGCGAAGAAAAGCTCAGATCAAGTAAGAGTTTCACTATGTCCATTTTCCTCAAATTGTTTTAATTATATTTGTTATCTCAACTACATAAACTCCCGTGTTTTAATATAGTGGTAAGAGTTCGTCTTGTGATGTGTTGATGGTTAGGCACATGT